GTGAAAGTGGTGGGGTGAGACCCTTTGTCCAGGGTGGGACACACACACACACAGAGCTTCCACGCGCACTACATCGCACAGAACCAGAAGCAACATAACATCCGACACACAGCATCTCAGCCTCAGTCCGGCTCTCAGTCTCAGCTGTGGTGTTTTTCTGTTCCAGATGCAAGTCTTGCCGAGTTTTCACTCTGGCATACGTTTCTTGCTTCTTGTGGTTTTGCGAAGATCACGTATACAGGGTTCACTCACAGAATGATCGCGGGAAATTGTTTGTGCTTGGGTGGCTGTTTCGTGACTCCATCGGATCCTCGGCAGTGGAGTTTGCTCGGCGCTCAGTGCGAGTCACTCAACATCAAGTGAAGTCCAGGTGTTCAATATCGGAGATGGGTAAGCTGTTTTATTTGAGTTGGCATTGATAAGCTGTTTTATTTGAGTTGGCATTGATGCTATGGTCTGTTATGGATGTACTTCACAGACTGATGCAGTAGTTTTCAGTATGGCATACGTTTCTAAACATATCGGAGATATTCGGAAGCAGATGTTCGCCTTGTGGCCGAAGCGGAAGTTGGCTGTGTTTTGCGACAATTAACATGTGCTGGATTGTGACTGAAGGTTCGGAGTTGCGTCGGATTGATATGGTGCCTTTTTCCCCACATTGTTGTGTGGGGTTCTTGTTTTTTTTGCTGCGCCTCCTCGCTCCTCCTCCTCCTCCTCCTCCGCCTTCCGCGTTCCTCCTTCCTCCTCTCTACTACAACATCTCTCACGCAACATCTCTCACAACAACATCGCTCAGAGAACATCCCACACACAACGTCTCGCATACAACATCACTCACACAACATCTCTCACAACAACAGCACAAGCGCACACACAACATCACTCACACAACATCGGATGCCAAGGGGTCGGACGCACGCCTCTCACAACAACATCACTCAGAGAACATCCCACACACAACCTCTCACACACAACAGCGCACACACAACATGGCTACAACTTTAGTACGCGGAGTATTTGGGGAGCTGGAAGATGAGAACTGGCATGCGTGGCAGGCGCAGCACTTTGCTGCTGGCCAAGGGGTCGGATGTACG